ACCTGAGAAACGAGATGGTGAGCCGGGTGGCGCGACATCCACGGCGAGTGCAGCGAGCTGTTGAGCTGCGGAAGTGGCACGGCCGCTCCCGTCGGGCTGCCGATCACGTTTTCCTCCGACATGCCAATCGTCCACATCGGGGTTGTGGGCCTCGCGTGCGAGCTGCCCTCCGCCGAACCGGCCGCATTGCTGCTGAGCTGCCGGGTCACGGTTAACGGAGCTGGAGCCAGACGGCGAAAAACCGTTGACTGGCTGCCGCCAGCGCCGCCGAGCCGCTCGCCGTCTCCGCCGGCATCGGTGTGGGCGCTGGGCGCCACATGGGCAGCCACGCCGCCAGGCTGCTCGCCGTCGCCGCCAGCCTCGGCGTCGAAGCTGGGCGCCACACGGGAGGCAGGGCCGCAAAGGCTCTCGCTGCCGCCGCCTACCTCGGCGTGGAGGCTGGGCGCCACAGGCTCGCCGCCAGCCTCGGCGTGGAAGCTGGGCGCGGCCCGCAGCCCGCTGCTGGGCTCGGGCTCCCGAGGCCGCGCGAAGAGGCGCGACGCGATCTCCCTGAGCGAGCACGCGTCCTCCTGCGCCGGCGCCTTGGCGTGCAGTGCTGCCCTCGCCCCCGGCGCCGCCAGCGCACGGCCGAGCTCCTCGCGCACGTCGCTGCGCACGCCGGCGCGCAGCTCGCCCAGGCTGGCCTCCAGCAGGCCCCGAAGCTCCTCCAGCTCGGCGCCGAGGCGGCCCGCGGAGCCCTCCGCCGCGCCGCGGGCGGCGGCGTGCCGCGCGCGCCCGTGGCCGCCGTCGGCCCCCGCGGCGGCGGCGGCGGCCGCCGGCCACGTCGGGCTGCGAGCCAGCTTGTCGGGCTGCGAGCTGGACGGCAGCGCGGGGCTGCGCGCCAGCCGCGCCGCACCCCCGGGGGCGCCGCCCGCCGCGCCTGGCTGCGCGCCGCACGGCGTCGACATGGCCGCCCGGCGCGCGCGGCGCGTCAGCGGGCGGCGGCCTGCGCGCGGGCGTGCGTGCAGCCCTCGGCGACCATCGGGCCCGAGCTGCTGGCAACACGCCCCAGGCTCCGACTGTGACTGGCCTGGGGGCTGCCTCGCGTCCGTCGCGGATGTCTTTCCCCGGCCGTGGCCCCCACGGTCTCTGGCCCAGCGCTGTTCTCATGTCTCTGTCTCGAGTGCTCGGGGTCCACGCGCTGGTCACTGGTCTCATGGACCATCACGACTTACAATCGAGGACCGTCTGCGTCGACACGCAGCAGAACAGTTGCAGCACATAGCTCGTCTATCTCTACTAACAAGCTGATCTCGGCGGTCTCGTGGTGGTAGACTGGCGCCTTCGACGATTACCGTTTCACTGATACGCTGGAGAGATCTGAAACTGCTGCTTGCAAACCCCAGATCAGCGCAATCCGAATTCGACACGCGTGCCCCACGCGATCCGACCAACCCGCCCACCTGCCCGAAACAGTGACGTCGTGCTGAAGAAGGCGCTGGTTTCCGGCAGGCGCGGTCGACGTCCCAACTCGTTCGTCGTCGGCCGACTCTGGGCCATCGGCGCCGCTCAACCTCTGCAGCCCGCGCTGGGGTCGCCCTCGCGTCAACGTGGCACGGAACTGTCGCATCTGCCCGACCTTCTCGACCAAACACCAATCAGAACCAGTCCCCGACCCTGCCCGAGAACAGTCACGAGCGGCGAACGTATCCACATCCATGTCCATGTCCTCGCCATCTGAACTCCAAGGCGCGATTCAGCGGATGCGCGGTCACATGGATGTGCACCAGGCGGGGACATCTGCGAACAAAACTTCCCGTATCCATGGGGTCGCGCCCATGGGCACTGCCCGCGAGGGCGTGGACATGGATACGTCTCCCGCCTGCGAAACGGGTCCCAAAGGACGAGATCGAGCAAAATTGCCTGGACTACACACATCAAACCGTCGGCGACCTTAGACGCTCGCTCTGAGGACCTTCCTGGAGGTACTCGCTCCAATCATGCACCATTGCTGCGTCTATCGCCCGTCGACTTCAATCGAACTTGAATCGAACTGAAAACGAACAATCATCGACCTAAAATCGATAAGATCCGTCAGGTGGGCCCAAAAAAGACTCCCCCAAAAACACATCTAAGATACTTGTACACATTGGACGCCGGAGGTCGACAGGAGACCGACTCGGTCGAGCGAACAAATTTTGACGGGCGAACGGGGCACTTCTTCCCGGCGACCCAGGACTTTCCGCAGACCGAACGAGGAACTTACTTCGGGCATGCGGGGCAATCTGTCTTGGTCGAAAGACGCAAGTATTGCGGGCGAGCGGAGAACAAGTCCTCATCGAGCGTGGAGATTTACAGACGCCGGAACAGGAAACAACGCATTTGAAGCCCCCCAAAGCCCCGGGGAACAGGACGCCTTCAAAAAGATCCTCATGCCATCCGTGCCACCGAAGCTCGAACGCCCGTGAGACACAACGTGCCCTGTAGACGCTTTCGTTTCTCTGAGACCCACCCCGACCTTTGAGCCTCTCACTTCCGAACACAACGGCTGCATGAAAGTGCAGAGGGAGCGCAGGAATAAAACACGCCAACCCTATGTTTGAAAACTGCCACGACTTCAAACACATCTCGGCCACATCAACTTTTCAGTTCAAAGGCAATAGCCGTAACGGGCAAACGATGCGCGAAACAACACCGCATCACCAGATAATAAGGGCAGTCGGCCGTGGAAAGTTACGGACGCTGGAATCTGAACACTATAGACACCACGGTGGAACGAAACCTAAACGCCCGCGAAAGAAAACACACACCCTGGAAACGGGATCTTTCTTGTAGACGCCTTTTTCCATCCTTTGAGCTGCCCGCTTCCTATTCACAAAGGCTACCTCATAATGCAGAGCGGCCGCCTGAATACACACGCCTGCCCCTTATCCGAACAGCTCTCGGCAGCCCATGGTTTCCAACTTTAGCGTGGTGACTGTTCATCGGGCGAACGCTCTGCCAGAGGACAACCCATGAAACGATTAGAAGAGTCGTCGACCGAAGAAGTTTAGAAACGCTGGAAAAAGACACGCCTGCTGGAACCTCCAGACACTTCGGAACGAAACCCGAACGCCCGCACAAAAATAACTACATGAACATGCAAAACGAAAGCCCGAACAGAAAAAACGCCTGCCTGCCCTCATTTTGACAATTCCCCCTTTTCCGAAAACCTCTCGGCCACGCCAAGCTGTCAACTTTAAGACAGCAGCCGTTGATCGGGCGAACGCTCCGCCAGAAAACAGCACATCACATGATTACAAGAACCGTCGAGCGAAGAAATTCACGGACGCCGGAATAGGATCCTATAGGAAATTCGTCGCGCCACGGAGCGAAACCCGAACGTCCACGAAACACAACGAGCACTGTAAACGCAGTCTTTCCTCTTGCCTCCAATTCCAGCCTCCCAACCTCCCCCTCCCGAGACACCACGACCACATAGTCGGGAGCGGCCAAGAGGGGGGTGTCCAAGAGGGGGGGTGCAAATCATGACCGGCGGCATGTGCGCGGCCCAGGTGGGGGGCCAGGGACGTAATGAAATAAGAAGAGGCGTCATGAAATCTGGGGAAATATCATGGCCCCCGCCATGATATCCCCCCCCCCTAGTCACCACCCCCCTCTTTGCCGCATCCGACATAAGAATGCTTGCGGCCTGCGAACGCCCGAATTACCCATGAAAACCCCCCCGCCTTTTGCCAGGAACTCTCGGCCAACCCAAGCCCTCAATCTTAGTGCAGTAAGCCGTTGATCAAACGAACGGCGAACGGCACGTCAAAGACCAACCCATCATCGGCGGCGGGCCCGTGGGGAAAATGAGACGGAAAAGGCCTTCTCAGAAGGCTCGGAAGCTCCTGGGCCTTCTGGGAAGTGCTCCGAGCCCTCCCCGGAGACGCAGAAAACTCTTGAGAAGGCGCGGGGGCTTCTGAGAAGTCTGGCCGCCTTGTGACACAGGGGAACGAAAAGAAAAATAAGCGTACAAACTCAGAGGTCCGCGCGGATCTATGGGATCGACGCCAGAGGCGCCGCTGGGGGGGGGGGGGGGGCGGGGGCCAGCGCCGCTCCGAGGAGTCAGAGAGGACCTCTGAGCTCTCGTGTCGATGCCACTTGTTGCCCCCCTGTGAGAAGGCCTTCCCCTTCCCGCTTCCCCCCCTCGCGCGCCGCCCACACCGCGCGGCTTCTCCGCCTGCGAGGAGGCAGCCTCGCCAGACTTCCCTGGGCGTCCGCCGCCCCCTTCGGCCGCCCTTCGGCCGCGGAGGAGAAGGCAGCTCCGCCGATCCTCGACTACTCACCCCAAAAAAGGACCCCGAACCCTTTGGGAGAGGACCTAAGTGAGGATGGCCAGCAACATTAGGGATAGGGGGTCTTCTCTGCGGGTGTATGGAACCAGGCCGCCCAGAATCAGTACCCTGATGTAAAGACGGGGACCTCAGTGAGACCACGTCTTCATCGTGTGACTTGGGTTAGGGGGTTCTTTTATTCTCGATGATCGAAGGCAGCCCTTTCTGGAGCGCCGCACCTGAACCCTCGCCCTAGAAATGGAAACTGAGCCCTGCCTGCAAACCGCTGCCACGGGCACAGTTTTTAAACCCAAGGCAACTCACTTGCCGATCGCCCTCGTTTGACTGGGAAATCCAGCGGTCCCCTTGCAAACTATAGGAGGTGGATCCGGGGCGACGGAGCTACGTAAAGGGACACTGAAACTCAACAGCCAGTCCTAAGGTCGAAAACTGACAAGCGAGCGCACCCGCCCGTGTTCTCCAGCGTTTCTCATTTCCAGGACAGCCTGCATCCAGCAGCACACGTGACAGCACCAAGAACCAAGCCTCCGTCGGCCAAGACGAAAATTCCTCGCTGAGCCCCCATTCTGATTTTCTCCGGGGGGGCCCTGGAGAATTTCCCCGCTCGCCAAAAAACAAATCCCCGTTCGACCGAGTAAACTTTCCTCATTCGCGACCAACTTTCCCGGCCCGCGGCTGGATGTCCTGCTTCGCCTTTTCACCGACGCCAGGGCTGCGGACCGCAGGGCGGCCTCCGCGGGCACTGCCGCGCGCCAGCGCCCGTGGCCTGCGCGCACGTCCTGCGCGGCAAGCCAGCGACGCCGCCGCCGCCGACGACAGCGAGGACGACGGCCACGATGACGATGAACACGACGACCACGACGGGGAACGGCGACTAGACTGTAGAACAGAAGGCCCGATTCCGAGACGATGCGATCTGTTCAGTCCCAACGCGTTTTCTCGGCTTCGGCCTCCAGGGCCCGTAGTCGGCCTCTGGGGCGCAGTGGACGGAGGTCGAGCGACAGGGGGCTGAATGTGTGCTAATGTTGTTGCGGCGGTGTTGGTCACACCGCGTTCGTGCTAGAGCGGGCCGTGGTCAAAGCGCACCTGCGCAGTGGGAAAACAAAAAGTGCGGCCGCGGAGGAGGAGGAAGAAGGAGAAGGGGGAGGAGGAGGAGGGGGAGGAGGAGGAAGAGGAGGAGGAGGGGGAGGAGGAGGAGGAGGAGGAGGAGGAGGAGGCAGGAAGAGGCACGGAGTCAGAGTAATTCGCGTGCGGCTCTCGCGGCCTCAAGCTCCACAGCAGCTGTGAAACGGGGGCTGCGCCTGACTGGACTAGGCTTAGATCGGGCATGTCACCCTACAGGCAGGTGTGCAGGCGGGCGGTCAAGCAATGGTAATGCTCAGTGGTGCTGTCGAGCATCCAGGCGTACGACCAGCCATAGCAGCTGGGCGCGAAGGGTACCAGTGGACTCGTCCTCTGTACCTGGAACTGATCCCACTGCGGGGGCCGCTATCCCATGGCGTAAGGTGAGCGCCATGGAGGGCGTGCGTCGTGGCGACTGTTCGTTTACGATGTGGGACCCCCACCGATGCTGGGACCCCCAACGACACTGGGAACATACTCATCCCCCCGCGGCGGCTACCGCTGATGATCGCGGGGGTGAGATGATGATGAGTCCCCCTGATGAGGATGATGATGGGGGGAAGGACGAGGAGGGGAAGGACGAGTTTAATTGCCAGCCGACAGCTCAGGGGTTCCCAGTGAATATTAAAGATTAAAGACCCTCTGTAACCAGCCTCGAACCTATCCCTATCCCTAAGATGGGCGAGCAAAAAATGAGGACAATCTTGGGGAAGTGCCCTCAGAAACTGCGGGGATCCTTAAGATCGGCATCGAGGGGAGGTGATGCCAAACACAGGAATAGGGATATGTTTCAAACTGGTAACTCTGAGGATAGCGGAGCTGGGACCTGGGTAGCGCGAGCACCCCCTCCATCGCAAAGGTCCCAGGAAGTATACGTAAATGTCTATGCCCGAGGAGGTCCCCCGGAGATCCGCAGGGGCCTCCGGAGGCTCTAACAACAACCCGTGCAATCAGGAAGAGGTAGGTATATCAGTATATCGAGGGAGGAGGAGACGCCCACCTCCTCCGCCTTCTGCTCCTCCCCAGAATCATCTGGCGGCGCTCGCCGTTCGAGACCTGCGGCCCCCGGACCTCTCGACCCTTCCCCCCTGGGCTGGCTTCTCGTCCCGAGCCGGCCTTTGGCGACCCTGGGGCCCCGAAGCTGGCCCCCATGAGAAACTTCGGCCCCTGGTGTTGATTCGAGTGGCCATATCCCCCGCTCCCCCTCCACAGACATACGATGTACTGATTCTCTTCAGTGAGGAGCCCCGGGACGTCCCGTCCCTCTCCGCAGGGCGGGGTGTTCATCCGCATTGCTCTTCGACGGTCCTGGGACGCGGCGAAGGCTCCCAGAGGTGGAAGTCGGCAAACAAAACACGGCCGTCGATGTTGCTTTTGATATGACAAGGGCCGGTCTGGCAAGGGCCCCTGGATGGGGAGAGCAAAAGGCACCGATGCCACTACTCCCCGGACCTCTCCCGGGGTGCGTTCTGACCAGGATTTCGAGGCGAAGCCAGCGGTGGCGACGAGGGCCTCCCAGGAGGCCGAAACAAGGGGAAAACGGGCGAAGGGGTAGAGGTATGGGTACCTCTTCCTCCTCTGACCGGAGGTCGACAGCTATCAGAGGCCGCCCGTTGATATCGCTTTCGAGGCGCGGGGCACGTCTGCGCCGAGCGGGCGGAGGCCAGCGCCGCGCGGCCCACCGGGGCGGCGCCTCACTCGCTCCGGGGGCGCTTCGCGGCGGGCACCTCCTTGTCGGGACCGCCCAAAACACGGGGGCCCCTGGAGACATCCCCGCCCTCCCCAAACCCCTCCCTTCAGCCGCCACTCGAGCTCGTGCTCTTCTCCATCCTGTCCCCCTCCTCCTCCTCCTCCTCCTCCTCCTCCTCCTGCTCCTCCTTCTCCTCCTCCTCCTCCTCCTCCTCCCGCCACCTCCTTCCTCCTCTGGCATGTCTCCTCCCTCTTCTCCCCTCCTCCTCCTCCTTCTCCTCCGCGCCGCGGCTGCTGCAATTGCTATTCCTACTCCGGGTTCTGCTGCCACTTCTGCTCCTGCACCTCGTCCCCTTCCTGTTCCTCGTCCTTCTGCTGCTCCTCCTCCTCCTCCTCCTCCTTCTCTTGAATTCACCACCTCCATTGTCTCTCCCTCCCGCTTCCTCGACCTTACACATATTTCCTCCTCGCGTCCCCTTCCTCTCCCTGCCTGTGGGGCGGGGAGAGGGCGTTCGCCCGATGCTTCAATGTGAAAGGGTGCTTGACATCGGGAACGTAATAGTTCCCACGCAGAGCGAAGTTCAATTTCCAAAGCCGGACTCCCGAGAACTCTAAAACTGTCCAGACATGGGTGAGGCACTTCGAAAACTCAAGGGCTCACACTGCAACGCCATCGTCTTAGGGGTGTCACAGCTTCCAGGCAGTGTACAATGAATGATCCAGCTCGAGCACACAGCGTGATGATGATGACGATGATGAAAATGATGACATTTGGAGAGCAGACACTTGAGGAGGGGCAGGAGGACCGAGGAAAGGTGAATGCGGGGGTCTGCGGATATAAAACGAGGAACCGACACAACACAAGAATTGGAACATGAAATCGCACAACACTTTAAACGCATGCGAGTGAACTGCGTTCCACTCTCCAAGATGTGCTCGCTGCTCGGAATTGTATAGGCACGTCCGACACCTACGATGCTGCACGCCAGACACTCCTTTAACAATATCAACAATCGCATCATGTATAACACGGAGAAAGACGGCCCGTCACCTACACCAAAACCTTCATACTTTGAACGCGCAAAGAATGATTGTTCTACGCGCGTGTTGGGGCGCGCAAAAGTTTTAGCCTCGTGCCCTTTGAGACCCCCAGACTTTCCCCAAGGCCCCAGCACCGATAGGTTCCAGGCCCCTGGGTTGGGGCCCAAGGCCTCGTACCCCACTGCGCATGATGCGCATATAGGCACATCGAGACTATGCATATTCCTGCACATCGATACACGCTTACATGTATGGCTGTAGACCTACATGCGCTTATGTTACACACAGCATGGTACATCGTCAACATATGACGCAAGGTGTTGCACCTTCATAGAATAGTCATTGGTTGCCCTCCACAGTGCGTGCAACCAATGTGTATATAGATGTACTTGTATATACACATGGATACGTACATCTATACACATGTATGTTTTTATGTATTTATGGTTATGCATCTGTATGCGTGTTTGTATATATGTGTGTGCCTGTATGCACGTACGAACGTACTGCACGTATGGACGAACGTAAGTACGTACGCGTAAGTACGTACGCATGTATGTATGTCTGCCTGTCTGTCTGTCTGTCTGTCTGTATGTATGTATGTGTAGGTATGAGAACGTACATATTTGAAGCTGCATGTTGTACCCCATGGGTTGTACAGTGCCCCTGTTTGGGGGCTGCGCGCTGGCATCATCCCGCGGTTTCGCCGCCCTACCCCTCGGCCTCGTCATGAGTACCGAAGCTGAGCACGAGGCTGCGCATCTCTCCAGTGCGGAAGGCCACCCGCAGGGCGCTGTCGTCGATCTCGAGCACCGAGTTGAACAGCGTGAACAGCCACGCCATATGGGACGCCACCACTATCTCGCTGCGTGGTTGGATGGCCACCCCTGGGGGCCCGGAGGCCCAGGAGCAGCCAAACATGCAACTCCCCGGGCCCAGCTGAACTGGCTGACTTTTCACATGCGTGCCGCTGCCCCCGAAGGGTCAAGAAAAGGCATGAACATTCTGCTCACGACGTGGGCGCGGAATGCCTGGGTCGGCGCTGGGCCCCCTCTCCGCACGCCTTCCCTGGCGCGCGGAGGGCGCCGGGGGGCAACACCAGAGGCGCCGCACTGGGTTTTGGAGAACAGGGGTCCATCGCCGACCCAAGATCCGCGCGGAACTCAAATAAATCATGCTTACGCATCTCTTGGGGCTCTTTGGCCTGCTCTGTCCTGCCCGGTCTGGGACCCGCCCACCGGGCTGGCCTGCTCGGCTACACAGCAACCGGGTCATAGGGGTGCGCGGCAAGGATGCGGCCGGATGAGGGACACCTCAAGTTGAAGCTTTTAGGGGGGGGCAGGCCCGCAAGGGCGCAAGTGGCACCTCAAGTTGACACCGCAAGGACGCCAGGGTGCGTTCGGCGACCTACTCGCTCGCATGATGTCTGCCTGGAGCCAGGGGCTGGCCGGTTCTGGGTCTCCATGGGCCCCGAGAGGGCGGCACGCCAACCACGGCCCTCGCTCTCAGGGCGGTCCTGGGAATCGAGCGGCTCCACAGGTCCCCCCCCCCCTTCCTCCTCCCTCCCACTTCTGACTACCTACCAGACCACCCCAGCGCAACCCGGAGACCCGAATTTCGGGTGAGGGGGAAGATGGGTTCCATCGCTTTTTTTTCAATGTTCCCCGACCCCCCCTGGAAATGGAAGGCAAATCAGGGCCTTCGGGTTTGGTTGGGGTGGTTTGGTGGGCGGTGAGCTTCTCCCCTGACTGTCCTCCCAGCAAGCGGCAAGCAGATCTCTCTCTCTCTCTCTCTCTCTCTCTCTCTCTCTCTCTCTCTCTCTCTATATATATATATAGATACATATGTATGTGTATATATATATATATATATATATATATATATACTAGAACCACGCGCGCGCTTCGCGCGCGCTTAGGTTCTAGCTAGGATCGTCACTGTCGTCATCATGAACATCACCATCGCCATCATTCCCCCCGCCAGGGCTAATGTACATCGTTTCTGGATGCTTCTGGCCGGAATACGAAAGGAGTTTCTGTAGTTAGAGTCTCTGGGGGAAGTCGCGGGGAAGCTTTTGTTGTCTTTGGTGTTGCGTCGCCAGGAGGTCTGGGCTCCTTCCTCCTCATGTTCCTACCTCCTCTCTGGACGTCCGATGTCGTGCTGCTTTCTGTGCGCGGCCCCTGGACCTCTCGACGACTTCCTGGGGATGTTTTTTTTTTTTTTTTTTCATCCTGAGTCGTTTTCTGACGGTCCCGGGACCCTGCGAGGGGCCCCGGAGGCCGAAAATTGACCGAAACCGCCGTCGTGATTTTTCCAAGACGTCGGAGGTCCAGGTCGTGCTTCCCGCCTCCCCAGACCTCCGACGTCGTAATTTTTGCGACCTCGGGCCCAGGAATCGATTGGGAAAACGCACATGGGAAGGCAAGAAATGATGGACCCATCATTTCGTACCTGTGCCTTGATCAGTGGGACGGGCTTCGCACCGCCGCACATCACAAGACACGCTCGAGCGGATCCAGCCGTGGCGACGTCGGGGACTGCAGAAGGTCGCAAGGACACGGAATCTGAAAGGAAGAAAGAGAAAGAGAGAGAAGAGAGAGGAGAGAGAGAGAGACAGACAGACAGAGAGCGAAGGAGAGAGAGAGAGAGAGATGAGAGAGAGAGAGAGAGAGAAGAAGACAGAGAGAGAGAGAGGCAGAGAGAGGAAATGGAGAGGAGGCGAGCTTGAGTCAACGAAAGTCGCAGGGAAGGGGGCAGGGGGAAGAAGGCCAGAGAGCGCTGAAGGATACAAATACTGGAACCCTCTTGGGATTTTTTTGGGGGCCTCGTCCGGCCGCTCGCTGGGAGTTTGACGTAGCTTCTTGGGAGCCTCAGAACCTGTCGGGGGCCTCCTGGAAGCAGGTTCGAAGCATTGTGGGGGCCGATTTGGGGCTTCTCGGGGCCTCCTTTGGGCCTCTTGGGGGTCTCCTGGGGCCTCTTGAGGGGCCTCCTGATGGCCTCCTGGCGGCCTCTTGGGGCGGAAGGCTCGAGCTTGCGGTTCGTGGTCCCCCTCTGGGCCCCCTCTTGGGCCCGTCTTGGGGCCCTCTTGGGCCATCTTGGGCGCCTCTTGGGCCGTCTTGGGGCCCTCTTGGGCTGTCCTGGGGCCCTCTTGGAAGCTTCTTGGGCCGTCTTGGGGCGGTCTTGGGCGCCTCTTGGGCCGTCCTGTAACGTCGGAAAGCCCAAAAGACAACTTTGTTGAAAATGTACGTTTTACGAAGGGAATGGGCCAATTTTTGCATCTAGGGGCCCTCTTGGGACGCATGTTGGAGGCTTCTTGGGGCCTCTTGGGGGCGTCCTTGGACGTCTGGGGTCTCCTGGGGCCTCTTGAGGGGCCTCCTGGGGGCCTCCTGGCGGCCTCTTGGGGCGGAAGGCTCGAGCTTGCGGTTCGTGGTCCCCCTCTGGGCCCCCTCTTGGGCCCGTCTTGGGGCCCTCTTGGGCCATCTTGGGCGCCTCTTGGGCCGTCTTGGGGCCCTCTTGGGCTGTCCTGGGGCCCTCTGGGAAGCTTCTTGGGCCGTCTTGGGGCGGTCTTGGGCGCCTCTTGGGCCGTCCTGTAACGTCGGAAAGCCCAAAAGGCGACTTTGTTGAACATGTACGTTTTACGAAGGGAATGGGCCAATTTTTGCGTCTAGGGGCCCTCTTGGGACGCATGTTGGAGGCTTCTTGGGGCCTCTTGGGGGCGTCCTTGGACGTCTGGGGTCTCCTGGGGCCTCTTGAGGGGCCTCCTGGGGGCCTCCTGGCGGCCTCTTGGGGCGGAAGGCTCGAGCTTGCGGTTCGTGGTCCCCCTCTGGGCCCCCTCTTGGGCCCGTCTTGGGGCCCTCTTGGGCCATCTTGGGCGCCTCTTGGGCCGTCTTGGGGCCCTCTTGGGCTGTCCTGGGGCCCTCTGGAAGCTTCTTGGGCCGTCTTGGGGCGGTCTTGGGCGCCTCTTGGGCCGTCCTGTAACGTCGGAAAGCCCAAAAGGCGACTTTGTTGAAAATGTACGTTTTACAAAGGGAATGGGCCAATTTTTGCGTCTAGGGGCCCTCTTGGGACGCATGTTGGAGGCTTCTTGGGGCCTCTTGGGGGCGTCCTTGGACGTCTGGAGGCCATCTTCAGCATCTCGGAGCCCTCTTGGAGGCCTCTTGGAAGTTTCTTGGGCCGTCTTGGGCGCTTCTTGGGCCGTCTTGTCTGACTGGGGAGGCCTCCGGCAAGCCCCGACGAGCCTCCGGGCCCCCCGGGGCGCACATTTGTGGTCGGGGTCCCGGCCCCGGGCCCCCGGACCCGGTGCGCCGATATATGTGTATATATATATATATA